CTCAGCCCCGCCGCGCCGCTCCGCCGCCGGCTGAAGTCACTTCCTCGGGCTCCGCCCCGGGGCCGCGGCCAGGCGGGAGGCGGGGAACGGCCCGGCCCGGCCCGGCGGCAGGTAGCGTGGTCCCCGCCGGGAGGGAGGGAGCGGCCCCGTACAGCCCCGGCCTCGCCTCCACAGCGCTGGGTTGCGGGGCTGGTGGTTTGGCTTCACCGGGAAGCGGCTTTGCTAAAGGGCTGAGGCTAGCAGGCACGGCCCCGGGGGCGGGGGAGCTAACCTAACCCAGGGGTGGTTGGGGCCCTTGCCCTCAGGTCTGCCGTCCCACCGAGGGAAAGCGACTTCCCCCCCCCCGCCGTCCGCAACCGCCGGCAGCATTTTATCGGTAACTGCTGAAGGCTGATCGCTCGGGTCAAGGGCAAGTGGAGCTGCGTGGGGAACGGACCCCGACTTCGCACCTCCACTGCTCCTCCGCTCTCTGGCTGTGCTAGGAGGGGCCTGGGATTCTTTCCCAACAAACGCCACCTCAACAGCAAATACTTTTCCAGCCAGTGTGCTCTTGAGAAGTGCTATATACACCTGCTTCCATCCACGATCAAAATAAGATCAAAACGTAAGCTGGATATAAAGTGTGTAATACAAAGAATACCGTGAAATCCGCAGAAGCCCTAGTGCTGTTTTGAGGCCCCCAGCTCCTTGTGAAACACTTGCCACTGATAGCTGTAGACCCTGACAGTCTGAGAACTTGAACCATACCTATTAATGCTTGTAAAAAAAAATTTAGATGACGCATGGATGAAGAAGAACAAAGGCCAGACCACTTCCACAGCCGAAAGGTTACAGCTCCACATGCTGAATTCCTGATGTGCTCAGAAACTCTCTTTACAACAAAAGGAACATAATTCTTTTTCCAATACAGTTAACACAGCTTGTTCTTACACCAAGGAGATCCATGTAACCCATTGTAACTTATGTCTGGAAGTTATTCAGCCATTCCTCCCCATACATCTCTAAAGCAGCAATCCGATAAAAATCTGAAGGATTTCAGACTAAATACTACTCTGAGCACTCTCTTTTTTACAAAGAATGACGCCCACCTCATTTTTACAGGCAAAACCACAACAAACTGAAAGAAAAACAAGCCTTAGATTTCAAAGTGTCTGTCAGTGGGTAGCTGGGTGGTCTGTCCTTCCCACCGAGGCTGAGTTCTTGACTGACATTACAATTGTGATTGCCAAAAGTCCGATAACCAAGTCTGGGAAGTCTGTAGGGTATCTGTGGAGACCAGATACAGCTTTCACCAAAGTTCCTACATTATCATTTACATTAACATTGTCATTTTATTATTGCAATATGGTATTCTGGTATACATTACTATGAATCCATCACAATAAATTCTGGGAACAAAGAGAGAACAAGATGGTCAATATTTAGAAAACAGACAAGGCGAGAGGAAAGACAACTTCATAGAGACCTTCTAATCTGGTACTTGCTTTCTCTGATCCTTCTAGTCAGAGATGATTTTTACAGAATTCTTTCACTACAACACCCCGGGGCAGAGAAAATTAAAACTCCCATTAACCTTTCCACACCAGACTTTCCATGTACAACTAGAAAAAAGAAAAAATTAAGTCATCTATGAAATTAGGAGACTCTGTGAAAGTCATTCTGAATTCATAGCATAGTTCTGGGGTATTGTAGGTTTTCTTGTCACCCCAACTCCTAATTAAATCAATCACCTGCAACAAAACAAAAATGCATTAGGACTGGACAGCTTTTTCACTCCAGCCTATTGGCTAATTAATCCCACGCGCAATTTGATTGAAATTGATAGAAAAAGGCACATTGTTCTTCTCCTGAACACAGCCTAGCCTAGCCTCCAAGTCCCAAGACTATAAATATCGTGAACAATAACCACATTGGTAGGTGAGGCATTCTCAAGAAGAGCTACAAGAATGGCTCTGAATAATACAAGAAGGAGCAGCAACAGAGAAGCCATTTCCAGCAGTCAACGGAGGTGTTGCAATTCTGGCATAAGCAGTAAGAGAATATTGCAGAGCCAGGGATTTATGTTCCCCTACTGTGATACCAGCATTAAAGTTAGAATACTTAACCTCTAACAGAGGTCTGGAAAAAGACAATACAGTGCTCTATAGCACTGTCCCTCACCCCTTGAAACCTGAAGGCTTTGAACTTTCACATTCACTTATTTTTTATACTATCAAACTAGAATGATAGCACTCGTATTTCTTCTGCAAGCATGTGCAAGACAGGGCCTTGAATGTGAAAGCTAATATTGTGGGTAGGAACCCCCATTTTTGCTGCACAGTCCGTGTTTAGCTCCCCAGATAGCCAGGACTAACCTATAAAAAGAGATGTGTGCTTGAGTGTCTAGTTCCAGTGCTTTCAAAGATCATTCCCCCTGCATGTCAGACAACGTGCTTCTGTAATGCTAACATATGCTTGATGTATGCAATACAAATAAAAAGAAAAGTTGTTTCCTTTATGTAGCTGTTAGCTAAAGCAACTCTGATGAGGTGTTTGCTCCCATATGAAGACCTGTTAGGCCAGTGGATTATTCACACAAATCAAAGTAATCCCTAAGTGTTGGCAGCGAGATTAGAGACTAAAACATGAAGTAGTGGTGTTTAAAAATAAGTTAACAACTCAACTTCAGACAACTCTGTCCTTTCCCTTGTCTGCTGCTGCTCTGAGTAATGACTCAGATACTGGAAAATATGTGGTAATGTAAACTGGCATGAAGGAACACACATGGAAATTCATTTGTCTTTATTTGGGATCCGTAGAAGATAAATGAAGATCCATTCCTTCTTCCAAAAGCTGTATAATTTTTATTTAAACAGAATGGGATATATAGAAGTAGAGGAAGTCAACCTACAACATTTTTTCTAAAATTGCACTTAACGTGACACATAATCCTACAGGCTAATGTAACTTTAAATGCACCTTCTTAATCAGATCAGTCCAAGTGATCCTAGCTGCAGGATGACTAAAAAACATGTATCCAGTACTTTACACAATGCACAAAAGAACCCAGACTTTCCCTCATGTTATTGTCAGAATTGACCACACCTATGACACTTACCTGGTACAAACTGAAACTGAAAGGTGTTTAGGTATGGCTGCCGATTTAAAGGAAAAAAAAAAAAAAAGAAGAAAAGAGAACTCACACCCAACATAAAAAGTTTCACAGAATTAGCGTTCAAAGAAGAATCTCAGAGGGCTGTCTTACTGCATGGATAGAGCAGGAGATAGCATGGACCTGAAACAAAAAAGGCATGCACTTGTGCTAAGTACATACCACGTACGCTGATTTATATCTGGCATCCTACTTACTATTCAGGGCCTGTGGGATTAGCTAGGGTCTGAGTGGGGATAAGATACACAATTTCTTTCAAGAAAAAAGAGAATGCTTACGAACTATTTTACTTTTGGCTGAATCTTGTCATCAGGAGTAATTCAGAGAGAGACTACACACTATCCCCAGTTCACAAACACCAGCTCTGTTAATATTGTTGCAGGTTCAGGACGTAGGTGCCATGTGATCTCCATATGTGCATACATAAAACACCTTTGAGAACCTGTTAAGTGTTTCACATATAGTATGTATGACAAATTAGATTTATAATTACACCACTATCTAATTTCTTTGCTTTTCATAGTTTTGTTCACACAGGGGAAACATGCAAATCTCCCTGCAGCCTGTTCAGCCCTGCAGCTCCTTCTCACATCTGTGATTACTGAGAGCTCTCAACACCTCAGAAATCACTTGGCTAATAAAGACACTCCTGCATTTAAGTGACTGTGGGATGGATTTCTAATCAGCTAGTACAGCCTTCAAGTAAAGCCTAGGACTGGGCTAAGAGATACTACAATTCATTAAAGTCCCATTGAATGAAATTAAAATGCAACACTAGGAAAGCTGACAATGTCTTACTGCAGCTTCTGCGGTACAATGTTCCAAACGGAACAGCTTTGTAAGCAATAAAACCATTTGACAGATTGTATCAGACAGTTGTTTATTACAGAGGTGAATGACCTTGGACTGACAGAGAATGGGCAAAAACAACACAGAAACAGTCTCTTATGAGAGAATTGGAAGTCTTTCTTACTGCCTTAAAAGATTCTGAAGAACATTATTTTCTTCATCTTTAATATATTGCCTGCTTACATAAATCTTCCTAAATGTGTTTGTAAAAATTATTTTTCTTTAAAGGCCACAGAACCATCAGATGCTGGTAACAGTTTTCAGCCATTATTGACCCGAATCCTCTTTGAAACCGTACCCTGTTATGGTCCCTTTAGCCAGCCAGTACCTCTCCCAGCAACAAATGTTTCTGCATGGAAAATTCTTGCATACGTTAAATTCTTATGCATTTTTCATTTTGGTATTGGTATTTAAAAATAAGTGGAACTGTGTTTATGTGCAACTATTTGGGAAAAGCATCTTTAACTATTTGGAGAAAAATCTCTTTTCCGAGCTACTTACTGCTTCCTTCGCTTCTGTTGCGGTAATACTAACACCATTTGAAATGAATTTGCCACATCCAATGTGGAAAAGCAAGAATATAAGCACACACTATCTATGCATGTTAATGCATGGTTAAAACGAGTAGAAAAAGAAAGCAATTGAAATCAGAAACATTAGTCTCTGTACCATTCCTCACAAACTCCAATATAAACCGGAGCTGAATACTTTAACTGTTATACTCCCGTAGTGGAGCTGGGTAGAGAAGATTCTGACTAGTTCTGCTTGGTAAGCATTTGTCAGCCATCCCTCCTCCCAGAAGAAAATGTTTAATCAAAACCTGGTATTTCCTGGTAACCCAAGTGGCACAATTTTACCATCCAAGCACCTTGCCATGTGAATTCTGGTACATTAGTCTAGCCATTACATCAGACATCCTAAAAACTTGCTAAAACGCTAAACATGCTTTAATACAATTCAAAATGGCACAGGAA